AAAATTAGATTTTTATGTGCTTCCAAAAACTTCTCCAAAAGAGTCAAGAGAGAACCTACAGATTGGGAAAGAATATTTGGCAATGACATATCTGACAAGGGACTTATCTCTAGAAATTATAGAAAACTCCAACACCTCGATAACAAAAAGACAAATAATCCAATTAAAAAATGGGCAGATGACATGAATAGACACTTCACCAAGGAGGACATTCAGGCAGCCAACAAACATGTGAAGAAATGCTCAAGATCATTAGCCATGAGAGATGCAAATCAAAACAACAGTGAGATACCATCTTGCTCCAGCACTAGCAGCAAGGTTCAACAAGACAGAAAATAACTAATGCTGTTGAGGATGTGGAGAGATTGGGACTCTCATACACTGCTGGTGGGACTGTAAAATGGTACAACCACTATGGAAAGCAGTATGCCGATTCCTGAAAAAGCTGGAAATAGAAATATCATTCGATCCAGCCATTCCATTACTAGGTATATGTCCTAAAGAAGTCAGAACCATGGCAAGAACAGACATACGCACCCCCATGTTCATCACAGCACTATTTACAATAACCAAAAGATGGAAACAACCTAGGTGTCCATCAACTGAGGAATGGCTAACCAAACTACGGTACATACACACAATGGAATGCTATGCAACACTAAAGAATAATGTACAGTCTCCAAAACACCACATAATGTGGATGAACTTGGAGGACATTATGCTGAGTAAAATTAGTCAATCACATAAGGACAAATATTGTATTAGTCCATTACTGTAAAATTCAAGGAAAGGTTTATCTATGGAAGGTAATTTTCTTTGTTGGTTACCAGGGGTGGGAGGGTAGGGTAGGGAACACTGTTAGATAGATAGAGATAAGTACTGATTTGGGTGAAGAGAAGGCCAATGTACCAAATGTGAGTGATCAACATGGTGGCATTGAGGAAGACATAGACAGGTACATGGGAGGTACAGACAACAAAGATGAACACTTTTGCACAAACAGTACTGCATTGTCAGTGAAGGCAAACGTGGGTATATGGGTGGATAGATGGGTGGGTAGGCTGAACTATTAGTTATGTATATGCAGCAGGGAGTGTACCCGACACCATGTATAGGGTTGGCAGACAATGGCTCTACAAGTGTATTTGTACATTCTGTAAGAATTCCCAGGGGTATAGGAGAGCTGACAAGGGAAGAGGTTGTAGTCACTTCTTGGTCACAGACAGCTATCCAGAGGGACCGAGTAGTTGAACCTATGGGCTCAGGACCATAGTCGCAGAGGACATCAAGCTCAGTTGGCATAACATACTACATGAAACATTGTTCCACCTCCTACTTTGGTGAGTAGCGAGTGGGATCTGAAAAGCTTGCAAGCAGCCATCTAGATGCAACGATGGGTCTCTCCTTGTCCAGAGCAAAGAAGAATGAAGAAAACCAAAGATTCACGGAAACAATTAGTCCTAGTGACTGGTACACCATGTGATCTGCAGCCTCATATACAGCTATGAGACCAGAAAAACTAGACGGTGCCCAGCTACCACTGTCAACCACTCAGAGAGGGATGTATGGAGGAGATCCTGGATAGAGAGGGAGAACAATGTGGAACAACACTCAAAATCATTTGGAAAAAAAAAAGTGGGGGGACCAGGTTTGCTGGTCTGATAGAGCCTGGTGGACCACTGAGACTATGGCCCCTAGCTGCCCTTCAGGTCTGGAATTGAACCCACACCTGTGGCTTCCAGCCAAACAAAAGACAGGCATACAAGGTGAACATTTATATCAGGTAGATACACTCCTTGGAGAGATCAATCATAGGAGAACAGAAGGGCTGTGTATGCACAGGGAGACAGCTCAGGGGGAAGGAGTGCATGTGAGGGACGGACACAGGGAAGAGGTAACTATCGGGAGGAAGTGGGAGGGGAGCTGTTGCATTGGGGCAAATTGTAGTCAATGTCATAAGACAACATGTGTGTGAACTGCTGTATAGAAAGTGAATTTGCTCTGTAAACTTTCACCCAAATCATGATTTAAAAAAAAAAAAAAAGTTATTTGTTTAATATTGCACATTGTGTTAAATATATTTCTCTATCTCTTTAAAAAAAATTACACACTCACTACAATTACAAAAATTTTTAAACATTGACCACATCAAGTGTTGTATAGAAAATGAAACAAACAGAATTCTCACATAGTGCCTAAGGCATTTGACTGCTAACCAGAAGGCTGGCGGTTCAAACCCACCAGTCACTCCTCGGAAGGAAGGTTGGGCAATCTACTTCCGTAGTGATACCGCCTCGGCAACCCAAGGAGAGGTCGCTATGAGTCGGGGCCAACTCGACGGCACATAAGAACAACAACATTGGTGAGGTAAATGACTAAACTGCTTTGAGAATCAACCATTATATAGTAAAATTGAAGACTGAACTGAAGGGCAAATATTCTAACCAGCAACTCCATTCCTGAGTGTACACCCTAGGGATCTAGGCACACACGCGCCTGAAGCCATACACAGACCCGGGCTGCTTCTGGGAGTCGTGGTGGTTACGGTTGGCGGAGCATGACCGGGGACAAATTCAGCTCAGGTTTGCCTTCTCCGGGAAGTCTTTGAGGAGCCCAAGCAGAATGAATAGCTGTCTCCTGTGTCCTACCACATCACTCCTGATGCAGCTATCACAAGTTTATGACTGTCTGACTTCGGGTCTAATTCCTTTCCCCTCCTCCCTTCCAAAGCTGAAACTTCAGTGAAGGACTGTGGTCTGATCCATGTATCCATGTCTCTGTGGTACATATGGAGTATTCACCAAATGTGTGATGAATTCGATAAAGGCTTGAGTAAGGAGGGTCCTATTGGGGTGCAAGTATACTAGACCGACAGAAACAGCGAAACTTAGGAGTCAATAGTTAAGAACGGAACATGCAGAAAATCGAGGGTTTTGGAAGTTCCTCCACTGGGTAGGGCCTGAGATACTATTTCACAGGACTAGAATAACGTTGAATGTGTTATCCCTTTGGCACATCTTTGTGGTAATTCTCTGAGGCTGATACTCAGCAGCCTCTCAGTCTGAAGATTTCTAGGGTTATAAAAAGGGCTCTGAGGATAATAATATATTATGGGGACTCCCGGTCCCCGATTTTAGCTATATGGGGGAGTAGAGGCTTGCAAGTGCACTTGAGGTTGAGGAGTGTGAATGTGAGTCGTTGCAGCACCTTTACGGCTAGGGCGCCTGGATTTTATAGTTGCCTGAGGCTGCGATTCTTAGTGAAGGGGCTGGCCTTATTTTTCACTGCAGCCACGTGAGAGGACCGAGGCCCAGAATCCCACGACAGAGAAGATGACAGATGTGGCAAGCAGCGAGGGGCCCAGGTTGATCAGAGCCACAATAAAGGCATCACTGAGACAGTCGTTGGATGCGGACATGTATGAGGAGAAGGAGGCAATTACGCCAAAGCCTAGGCCCAGGGAAGATAAAATGAAGTCCCCTGCTTGGACCACAATAAATAAGGATTCCACAAATGATATCTAACAGGGAAAAGACAAGTACAAAGAGGGATAAAAATGAAGAAGGAGAAGAAACCTGTAACAGAAATGTTCAGTCGGAGGGAGGAACCCAGAGAAAGAGAACAGAAAACAGGGAAAGGAGGCCTGAGAGCAGTCGGCTATGGTGTCTCACAAGGACTGATGGAGGCGTTGGGAAGCTACGCCTCCTTGAAAACCAACACATATTGAAGGCCAAATGATGCACCGTCCAGCAGAGAACTCCGGATTAGGAAACACAGGACCACGAGATAGGAAAGGAGCACCAAGATGTACGTTGCCTGAGTTGAGAATGAGACATATTAGCAACCATCAATTCACAGGGGTCATCAAAAGTTCTGAGCCGGAAACTGATAGAAGACAGCTTTCAGCAGCGGTCGGGGGCTGGTGGGAGTGAAAGGCCAGAGGAAATGAGAAATTAGGACCTCAATGAGTAAAAGGGTCAGGTCAGGGCCAGAGCATCTGTGAATGTCAAGGAAAGCAAAAATGAAGACTCACCTTCCCAGCGGACTTCAGCCCACTGATCGTGATAACAGCAGTAACACACCAGGTCAGAAAGAGGGACAGGCTCATACTGGGGATTACTGGTCCAGCATCCTCAATTGTGTCCGAGGCCTTCAAGATCTTCCAGTAAAAGTAGTACATGGAGGGTATCATCCGCGCACACTCAGCATCTGGGGAGACCTGGCTTTGGACACACCTGCTAGACAAGGTGACCTCTCCCCTCTCCTTTACTCCCTCTGCTACCTCCTCTCTCCTCTTTCCATCTCCCATTCCTTCTTCCTTCTACTACTGTCCTCTTCCTTATGCCTTCACACTCCCTCTTCCTCCTCCCAATCCCCTTCCACCTGTTTTCCCCTTCTCCTTCTCTTCCTCTTCGTCCTCACCAAATTCTTTGGAGTTATTCACTAAGGGACATTTCTCCCATGGAACAGGAAATCGGAAGGACTGGCTCGAACAGAAGAAGCCCCAACACTGGACCACATTGATGAGCAAGCTCTCATGATGCACACCTGAGGGACAAGAGAAGACAGCTGGCGAGGAATAGTGGGACAGGACAAAGAAGGGGACTTCAGAGAGGACGAGGGAACCAAAGGAACTTGATCCATGGAAACAAAGTGACAAGACCCACTCCAGGAGAAGGGTTGGGATGGGGGTTGGATGTAAAAGGTACGTCTAGGCAGCTCGTAGCTCCTTACCATGAATGTTGTGTAACCCAAACCAGTCATTGAGGGACTGATGAACTTCCATGCACCAAGGGTGGCCTTTCGCAGCCTCTGGCCAAATGCCATCTCCAGGAAGAGGACAGGAACTCCAATCAAGAACATCGTGAAGATGTAGAAGATGAGAAAACATGCCTGAATGGAGATTCAAGAAGTTCTGAGAATCATCTGGCCTTTAAGAAACTGGACTTCTCAGAGGTCGAGGAAAACACATTCCCCACCAATGACCTCCCTCAGGGCCTCAGGCATCAGCGTTTAACTGCTTCCACATCCCTCACAGTCCCAGGTGTCCAGTATCCTGGCCCACAATTCCCAGAACACACATATACCTAGTTTCTACCCACAACCTTGACCCAGGCCTCCAGCCCCATCATCCCACAAATATACACGTTCAGATACACTGCACCTCCACCTTCCCTCATTCTGTTTCTTTGTCCTGTGCATCTTCAGAGATGAAGCTCTGTGTTTCCAACATGTGAAAGACCTCATCCTTGACAGAAAGTCTTTCTCAAGTTGGGTGGACTGAGCCTCCTCAGCCTGGGACTCCCAGGCCTGGGCCCTTGCAACCTTGGGCTCTGAAGCAATGGCTGATGCAGACCAGGTCTCTGGAAAATTCAATGACCTGGTTTGGACTTCTGAGACACACTGAGAAGGCTCGCTCTCAGCAAATGAGGTTTTTGCTGGTGAGGCTTTTGAAGACTCAAATTCTGTGTTCATCTTAAGCAGACTGTCTTGAGAAACTCCAGCTTCTTCAATGGTGAGGTCACCTCCCTGGACCAACCTTAAGGACATCAAAAACTATAAATTTTAGATCTCAGAGCCAAGGGATGACTGAGTTCCAAAACAACCCCCAACACTTTCTTAAAGAAAGTCTTTCGTTTCTGTCTCTACCAACCCAGAAATTCAAACACAGAAATATTGCTTCCAAAAGTTTTACTTCTTAGAAATGTTTTGACAGTAGGGAAAGGGGTAGAGATGGGCAGAGCCTGTTGATTTCAGTCAGGAACCCACTTGCTCAGAATGCTGATATACGCTCCCTAGAGAAGGAGGCACCACTTATACAGGGCTTTTGAGTCAAAGGAACTAATTTCGTCCTGAATCTGCCTTGTAACCTTGGGAAAACTGCTTTACCTCTCTGACCTTCACTTTCTCATCTGCACACCATTCAGGTCTCTGCTCGGGTATCACCTGGCCAGCAATGCCACCCTTGCCCAGCACTCAGAGATCTAACCCAGCAGCAACCGACCCGTCGCTCTTCCATCCTGCCCTCTCTGCCTTCTCCTCACAGCATTTCTCACCCCTGACGTTATTCTCTACTCACTTCTCAAACAAAACGTGTATGAACTGCTGTATGGAAATGACTTTGTAAATTTTCACCCAAATAACAACAAACATTAAAAATCATTTAAAGGCACTCCCTGTGAGATGTAAACCGATATTGCCGTTTTGGAAAACTATTGGCAGTATCCATTGAGACTGAACAAATGCTGAGCCTGTGTATGGGTCAGCACTTGCCCTTCACGACATAGCCCCAAAGTAACAAGTGCTGACATTCAACAAAAGATGTGTGCGGGAGCATTCATACGGTGTTCTCTCTAATAGTCAAACACTGGAAACTATCCAGACACTTAAATGGATTCATCAATTGTAGTTCATTCAGACAACAGAAACTGCACAGGAGCGAGGAGACACAAAGTATTGCTACTTATTCCACTGACAAATGTCACAACACACAATGAACAAGAAAATACATACTGAATGAGTCCATTTATATAAAACTGAAAAATAGTTCATACCAAACTATAAGTCAGGAAAATGGTTATCTTGTGGAGGTGGAAGGGGCCAGTGGTTTGGGAGAAGGTAAAAGGTAGGCTTCTGGGCTACTGGTCATGTTGATCTCGGTGGTAACTACATGGGTATTTGCCTACCGAGAATGCATTGAACTGTCGATTTTTTTCTTCATTAACATTAATGTATTCAACAAATATAATATTCAATTCATCTTTACGGAGAGCCCATGTGGGCTAGGAGATATGCTTGGTGCTGTGGGACAGATAAAAAGGTTAATAAGACATGATATCTACCCTCAAGGAGCTCACAGATCATTCTAAACTACATAAACAGACTATTCTAAACTACATTTCCCAGGCTTCCGTGCAGTAAGGTTGAGGCCTTGTGACTGGTCTTCGACCAATGAAGTGAGTGCAGAATGATGTAAGTCGTTTCTGGATTTGGCCATAAAAGGGCCTGAATGTGCCTCACTCTTTCTCTGTTAAATGTGGTAAAAAAAGGCATGTCATGGAAGGAATTGTCAAGTGTGGGGAAGAAGGTAGGAGCTCTGGTGGAGTAGTGGCTAAGGCACTTGACTGCTAACCAGAAGGCTGGCGGTTCAAACCCCCCAGCCACTCCTTGAAAGAAAGATTGCATAATCCACTTCCATAGTGATACTGCCTTGGAAACCCAAGGAGGGGTCGCTGTGAGTCGGGTCCAACTCGACAGCAGTGAGCTTGGTGTTTTGGTGGGGAAGGGGCAAAGGCCAGAGGGTGGAGAGAACTTTCTGGAGAAGAGGGAGCTTGCGCTGAATCTTATAGACCAGTAGGATGCAGCCTCACAGTGGAGAGAGGATGTCCCTGGTACGATCATGTGAGGCCTGAGTCCTAATGGCCTCCAGGTAAATCTTTAACCAGAAGTCTTTAGTGTCAGGGATTCTAACACTCCCCATGCCTCAGGGCTTTTATCTACCCTCCGGATTCAACGCATATCAGAGATTTGCCTGGCTCCTGAAGTCTCCCACGTATCAGGGCTCTGCATCCTCCCTAGATAATAATTCCCTAAGTAGACTTTGGAGCTGGGGGATTCCAACACGTCCCCCAACATCTCAGACCCCTGCCCTAAACCCCTTAGCAACAACCAATCATCTGTACCCCTTAGCCCTGGTGCTACTCCACCCTATATTTTTCTATAAAAATGTGATAGTAAAGGAGCACGAGGTCTTTTGCTTAAGCCACTAAGTTGGCAAGAGCAGGGACCCTAGCTCGAGCTAGCAAATAAACTTTCCTTTTGCTTTTGCATTATCGTGTTAGTGGTGGCTTCCTCGCGTTGACATTCCTTTCTGAACACGGGCTCAACAATCAGAGCGTGGGGGAAAAAGAAATCAAAACTACTGAAGGCAAACTGAAAAACATTGATCTGAATTTTAATGCTGGCTTCTGAAAAATCATCCAAAATTCAATGATAAGTATTTTCTCTTTGTTGTGGTTGTTGTTATGTGCCGTTGAGTCGGCTCCAACTCACAGTAACCCCTCCTTGGGTTTCCGAGGCAGTATCACTACGGAAGTAGATTGCCCAACCTTCCTTCCTAGGAGTGGCTGGTGGGTTTGAACCGCCAGCCTTCTCTTCTGGTTAGCAGTCAAGTGCCTTAGGCCCTGCACCACCAGAGCTCCTACCTTCACAGAAGCAAAGCCCAAACCAAACCCAGTGCCTGGAGGGGATTCTGACCCACAGCGCCCCTAGAGGGCAGAGTGGAACTGCACCACAGGGTCTCCAAGGCTGTCAGTCTTTATGGGTGCAAAGCCCAAACCACACCCACTGGAAGCAAAGCCCAAACCAAAGTCACTGCCATTGACTTGACTTGACTCATGGCCACCCCTCCTTGGGTTTCCAAGGAGGTATCTCTAGAGAAGTCGATTGCCCAACCTGCCTTCTGAGGAGTGGCTGGTGGGTTTGAACTGCCACCCTTCTGGTTAGCAATCAAGTGCCTTAGGCACTATGTTACCAGAGCTCCTAGTCTCTCTTTAGTAGTCAGGATTAGGAAAGCTAGCTGCTGTAACAAATAACCCTAAAGTCTCTGCAGCCTAATGCAAGAAGTTCTTCCACAAAGTCTCTTAACAGTCTCCTCTAAGGGGAGATGGGGGATTTCAAGCCAATGAGTGAAGGCAGAGAGAAAGGGTGAGGCTTCCGCCAGCCATTGTATAGCCAAACCTGGAAGAGGTTTACATCATTCTGCACTCACGCCATTGGTCCAAGACCAGTCATGTGGCCCCAACCACCGGGTAGACCATGAGGCTGCCTCAGATGAAGCCACCAAGCGGTAGAGGGAGTTTAGGGCAAACAGTGAGCTCTGTATGGAATGCGGTGAAGGTCAAGGGAGGAAGGGCGTCCGAGGACAGGCAGCTCCTCGAGGCTACAGCTCCGAAGACAGAGTTAGACAGTGAATAAGATTTCCTGGAAGAGGGCAGGGAGCGGGTTCCCTGAGGGCAGCTGGTCCTACAAGTTCCCAAGGTCTGAGTTGGAAATGTGTGAAGAACTTGGGGTTTGACAAGAATGGGGAGCCTGTGGGACACATCAGCAGAGAGTTCAGAGGCTGCTGGGTGCCCGGGTCTGGCCCAAAGGAACCAGGCACCAGAGACCTAGGTCTAACTGCCATGGTCTCGGGCTTAGTTACGGCACTTTGTAGGCCCTTCCGTCAGGGCCCAGTGCAGACGCAGGAAACGCTGCTGGGGGCTCGGCTTCCCGTGCACGCAGTCACTGCCCAAACCTCTCCTCCCTCTCAGGGACCTTCCCACTTCTCTCTGAGGGCACTTTCATTTCCCCCAGTTGGCCAGGCTCGGCCCCAGCACGTGGGAGGACCGTGGTACAGCACTCAGACTGAGAGAGAGAGAGAGAGAAGGCAGGGCACAAAGATGGGGGACGGGAAATGGGGGGATGGAAACCCAGGGAGAGAGGGGGCAGAGACTCAGAGACAGAGGGGAACAGAAACCCAGAGAGAGAGGGGGACAGAGACCCAGAAAG